CAGTTTCTGGTCTTCTCCCTCTTCTGGCTTATGCTGATACAATCTGAACACTTGCTGCTCTCGGTGCCTTCTCACTTCAACCTTTCATTCCCGGCTCGTATGCTCATCTTACGGCACCCTCTTACACTTGGCGGATTCGGCTCGCGCTCAGCTACACTTCCGCCTCGCGTCTTGTACATACATCGGCAATGCTCTTCGTTCTCGCTCGTCTCTATGTCTCGCCGTCGCCTTCTTGCGCCCTGTACTCTCACACGTGGCTTTATTCTTACCGACGCTGTAGTTTGCTCGTCTACTAATCTTAGATGGTCCTCAATTACTTAAGATACGTGTTATATCGAGTGCTTGCTGGGACTCCATATCACATGGACATATCAGAATTTTTGTACTTTTATCACTGACTAAGTGCTGTACAATGTAATGAATAAAGGTGTCTTTTATGTAGTGCCTATGGCATTGTTTAGAAGGGCACAGGAAACAGTGTCCAAGGCACTCTTCGGACGAGTGCCCAAGACACATATTTCGCGGGATGATAAATGACATAAAATATTCACTAACTTGCAGTGCCTTGGGCACTTGCTCGTAAGGCACTTTTTACACGTGCCGTCGTATCGAGTGCCTAGGGCACTTGCCATGAGCGACAAGTGCCCAAGGCGCTGGGTCTAAGTGCCTTTACTTCCCGCAGTGTACATCTTTGACCTCCACCCAACCCCCCTTCATGCCGACCTCGACTATACGTTCAAGGATACGGGTTAATTCATCGTTTCTGGATACAGTAGCGTAATCAATCGTGACACGAAGTACTGACGATGCCGCAGTACGTACCTCGAAGCGAGCCCTTCCAAACTGACAGCGATTTCCTTGACCCGCTCCTCCATGAGACCCAGCCGCTCCTTGATATCGTCCAGCTGATCATCAACAGCATCCCGCCGTTTAGTCTGTGATCTCGACGAACGCCAGGTTTCCGCTATTATCAGGGCCGCGGCAACGGAGAACAAGAAGCCTTCCGCTAGAGCATTTGCACCGTTTTCTATCGCCCTGGTTCGCATGCGTGCCGCATTAGCATCTCAAAGGACAAAGAGACGTAAGTTGCAACGCACTTGGTCTCGGACAACGGTCGTATATGTTTCGCGGGTTCTCCCAGCAGGCCTGTACGTAGCTTCACCTCCGCCCGGTACATCCGCTGCGCCAAATTGACGCAAAAAGACCGAAAGGTTTCATGCCTGAGCAACTCGGAAGACGGTTGAAGCTGTATCATGAGATGGGGGCAAAATCACTCACTGCTTAGCTTGTACCTTGATCTGGTTGCTTATGGGCTTTGCTAAGGTCTCGCTTGGTCGTCAACTTAGTATGTGCCCCAATTCTTCTTACAAACCCAATGTTGCAAGAAATCATCCTGCTACTCACTCGAATTAGCAGAGTACCGAGCTTCGCCGTCGCCATCGCCCACGACGCCCAGTATATAGACTAGAATTCCTATGTTTCCGAGCCGCCGTTCAAGCAGTTGAGTTACAAGTGCATCTATGAGGGTATATGATCGCTGAGTGGAAGAGGCAGACGCGCAGGTGGCAATGTGCCGGAGAAACGCGTAGTCGGCGGCGAGCGTGCTCGGCGCAAATCGGGAGTCAGGTTAGCCACAGAACGTGTTCATGTACGACTACACCGGTCGAGGGCCGTCATTAGCTGAAAGATACGCTACACCAGGGGTACTGTACACACTAATACAGATGCAGGGCGCGACAAAACAAGAAAGCAATAACCACAAATCCAAAAGTTCTAGGGCAGAGGCGCAAGCTGCCAGTCCGCTAAATATGACACAGAGAAGAGGCGATGGAGCACTGAAACCGAGACCAAACCCTATCACATAATCGTGCACCCACCCGACGGTGTCGGACATAGACTTCCAGCTAACCAGCTCCACATGCCTGCTCCAGCGCTCTGGATAGCTTCGTCGTACTTCACCTTGATGGGGCCACCGGGACGCTTGATGGTGATAGTGTACTCTTGCTCCTCTTCGCCTTCGGCAGGTACGACGTACCACCACTTCAGCGTCTGACCATGCACCTCGTATCTGCCGGACGACACGCTCACGGACAAAGCAAGGTCCGATGAAGCTTGGGGCAGTAGAGTGCTTGTTGAGGATGCGAGGGTCGGCGGCGACACGATAGGTGATAGATTGATTGTAGATGCGTTGCGAGACGCCAGTCCATGCTCGGATGCAGGCTCTGGGCTATCACCAAGAGACGTCTCCTTGCCCTCAGACTGACCAAGTAGTTTATCATCCGCGAAGTGCACCAAGGGGACGTAGATTTCCGTAGGGAGGGCAGACTCCTTCCCCGCTAACGACAGCGTGCTATCAGGTA